GTCCACCTGACGGTAAGTGGATGCTGAGGCCCACAGACTTCTACATCTATTCTCCATTATTTATTTATATACACATAGTTTAGAGCCACCTGCATCTATTGACTTTCTGCATCACTTACCAAGTCATAGTCATCACTCCTACACTGCACTACACTCGCACTAGACCAGAGGGTCAGTAAGTTGAAGTGGCAATGTGCCGGTCATACAGCTAGCATAATCGACAACCGATGGGAAAGAAAGGTTCTCCAGTGGCACCATTATACCGGTAAGCGCAGTTGCTTTGAATTACTCAGAAGTTGTCGTTTTTGTCAAAAAAACGTTCGAGATAACGTACTATTGCCAGTACAAACCGAATTTGCTTATTACCTCATGCTGCAATATAGACCTAAAATGCTTAGACCGGTGACGAGTAGCAGCATAAGACTATGCGAGACTGCTGGTGCTACAGTCATCCATCCGCCTGCCAAGTCTAACAAATAAGGCACATCCTCTCTTTTATATGTGCCCCATATAAATTGGAGGATTTGCCTTAATATATTACTTACTTATATATTGCCATGCTGCAGCTATATTATGGTTGTGGCATGAATGGGTCGACTCGACCAGGGTAAAATAGCAGCTTAATGCGTTTCACATGGTTGAGTGTAGAGAACCGGAGACCCTTTTTTACTGGAAATGAAGCATATCACTTTAGTCCTCAGGGGTGACAATGTATCTGCATTTTAATTCTTAATTGAGTAAAAATGTCTATGGGCCACAGCATTCACTAACCATCTGAGTGGACTGTGTGCCCGCTTGTCAACCTTATGCTATTAAAATACGGGGATTATTACACGAAAGGGAAAATTGGCAAAATATAAAATTCCACTTAATAAAAACGTTTCTTATTTATGTTATGCTTTCAGGATGATCATTTAATGTCTAGAATTCTATATTCTGTTGACAATGCGGTCCGAATTGAATCCTTTGCTGGCTCGATTCGTGAAACCAATCCAGTTTATAGTGACTATCACGGCTTGTTTCATGTAACAAAGCTGTCAGCTATTTATACACTTGTACCTTTTGTTCCGCCCAGTCTAGATATGGCATTCAAATTGAGAAGGAAAAAGTTTGTTATTGAGAAGCTGCACTTACCACCAGGTAAAAAATAGTATTATTTTAAAAGTAAACTAACAGTTTTAGTTCTTCTCATGTATGAGTTTTGTAGGGTAAGGTTTACAATTCGGTCGCCTGAATTAGGGGGTGGAGGGTGGTGTGGGGGGAGGGGGAGGAGTTGTAGAGTCACCCCCTACTTCCACTTTCTGCCGGACGTGCTTAGTTTTTTTTTTTAATTTTTAAAAATCTCATTTTGAGGTTATGTTTCGTAATTGTTATGACAATTTTAACCTGATTTATGGGGAGAGAGAGAGTTGGGGGACGGAAGCCCCACGCCACTTAACGTGGTGCAGTCGAGGGAAGCCCGGTCGACGGAGCCCCGCTTAGCGGGGCTCCTGCTTCTGAGTGTTTTACAAATAAATAACCACGAAAGGGATGACAGGGTCTATTCGCTCGCTTCGCTCACTCACTCGACCCCGTCATCCCCTTCTAACTTAAACCTGTCCGAGTCGGGGTGCCCCACGTCCTAGGCTCGCTTCGCTCGCTATTGCACCCAATATAACACCAAAACATTAACTTTTATAACTACTTTAATTTATAAACATAATTTATGGCTGCTTACCATTTGTAAGAAAGGATCTTTGCGATATTTAGCAGTATTCCGCCGCCACAAATATTCTACTATTCACCAAAATTATGATACTCTGAAGCAACGGCATGACGAAAAACTGTAAAAAATGGCCGCTGCGATTAAAACATTTTAAAATCGATTCAAATCGAAATTGGATGAATCGATTCACAAAAAATCGAAATCGTAAAGATCGAATTCGAAAAAATCGATCTTTTTTTTTTGATTTGCGTTATCAAAAGATACAATAAAGTACAGATAACATTGAATGATTGAATTAAAAACTGTCATTCTTTACGAGTTAGGGTATATTCAACTAATTGTAAATAATTTTACAAATCTTAATAAAACAGGAAAAAGTTTCGATCTCGATTCTCTAGGGTGAAATATCGATTCACTAGATCGATTCAGTGCTATATATCGATATGACATTGACAGATGAAACGTCAAAAACGTAATTAATTAGTCATTTACTTAATAATATTTTCGAGCACGTCGTGAATCAGCACTTAAAACTACAATTAACAACTTCAATGGTGGCGAAGGTAATCAAATGTCAGTGACTCGCATACTGAGAAAATTATAACAAGCACCCAACTGACACACAACCTTTATTCTTGAAAAATTCATCATCCACTTTTATCATAACAAAAAACCTACAGTCCCTAAAATATCGCGGACATATGTGCCCTGTTTATCAAAACTCACAAGTCTACTTGTTCACAAGTTACACTTTACAAGAAAGTTTTTACAAGTTCGAGTAAATTACGTTTATCAAAAAAATCTACAGCGCTTGTAAAATTTAACACTTGTAGGTTCTAAAATCAAAAACGTGTGCCGCATTCTTTTCCCGCCATTTTGTTTTTGCTTTTTATTGAATCCTTCCCTATTTAAACGCATGGCTGTATGGTATATCGTCTGTGCCTAATTTTGATGGGACATTAAAAAAAGTGGCACAGGTAGTAGCGACAAAGTATTTCCGCCTTTTATATATAATTTGAAGTGTATTCTAGAAATGATAATAAAATAACGATTTTACAACTGATTCGCGACAAAAAGTTCTTTAAGTCGAAACCTTCCATTAAATTCATAGGTCGTCTCCATATGACCGTAGTCAATTCTTATTCTTTATGTTCTTGGTTCCATTATTCTAATATTTCCTTCATCGCTTGGGTCACTTGACTACATTTAAAAAAGGAAAATCAAATTAGAAAAATATTACAGTACTACTTAAAACACTTGTAAGACAGAATGGAGAGTCGCTGGACACTCTTTGAATTTGCTATGATTTTCTACAAATTGTAACTTACAAGGGATTTTTGATAAACAAAATCACGAATACAAATGTAAAAATATACTTGTGAAATAAATAATGACCCTTGTAACTTGTAATTTACACGTGCAGTTTTGATAAACACATATTTGTAATAATTAATTTTTTTACAGGAAAATTGCTTGTAATACAAGGCTTGTAAGTTTTGATAAACAGGGCAATGGTCTATAATAACGAAACATAAATACTGTTATATTAACATATGAGGGGCTTTGATGTCAATATTTGCAGTGTCATCAGCATAATTAGCCGTTGTGACAGTTTTTTAAGATATTTTATCATCCCATTCCCATGTTTTAAGACCTGATGATAAGGAAGCCCATAAAGACATCTAAGATGTAAAAAAACAAGACCGGAACAAACTTTAAGACCACTGGTACTACGATTAAAGAGAGGATTAAAGGTTTACGGAAAATTCTTATTGTTAGCAGGCTTAATGTCAAGCAGAGGTATCTTTGCGGACTTAAAAGTAGGAAATAGAAGTCTTCATCGGAAAATTGCTTTACAATTTATATTACATATGTTTTCAATCTTTTATTTAAAATTAGAAATTTCAATTAATAATCCACTGTTAGCTTTTTAACACCTGTACTTTCACATAGCAGCCTTTGTAATACGTCATTGATTGTAGAACCAGACTTATCGCACCTAAGCCAATCGCAATATATCTTCACCGGTCAGGCTATCTTCTTTCTGTCATTTCTTGATTTTATATTGAACCAAACTAATTTTACGTATTTTGGTTAACTACTTATTTTAAATCCACACTTTTCGGGTGTTTTACATCACCTACAGCATAGTTTAACCAAGCCTACATTTTCCTTTTGAATATTAATTTTTGGTCCGATCCAAACGGGCTGACACTATCTTCAAGCCTTGCAGTGGTGTTTGCGTTTGAAATTTAAGAAATGATAATGGTATTAGAGACCTTGCATAAGGCCACATATTTTAGTTGACTTAGAATTTAACCACCTAGTTATAACTTCACTTCAATTTACACAATAGACAATAATTTTAGCTAGATCCAAAGATACTAGAAGTCGGTTTATAATTTCTTATTAGACAAATTATTATAATATTGCGTTTTAAGAGCTTAATATATTTTTTACTAAAGATTTACAAAAACGCACTTGTATTACAATTTTTAGTGTTTAAGATTTGTTTCAGAAAATGTTTGATATATAAATTAGCAATTTTGTATGACCAAAATTTAAAACTAAAATTGTATAGTAATAATATATTCTAATAAGTCTAATCTTATTGCAGAATTACAAGAGTCTAGTGAAAGGGAGCAAGACGATATTACAGCGGTACCTAAAGATGTTGGCTGTGGAGGATTTAGAAAGAAAGATATTGAATTTTAAATGTTATTCTATAAGTAATAAATGTTTATATTTGTATGGCCTTATTTTATTAATTTATATAAAAGAACTTATCATTTTCATCTATATCCTGTGATCAACATACTTGTCTAAAGTATGTGAGGATGGAAGTAACTCATGCATTAATTTTAAACAAAACTGCCTTAATTATTAGGCACCCCACCTGCTCATCGGAGCGTATCTCCCTAAAACCGACGAATCTATTCATCGTACATTTTTACACATATTTGTTCACATAACACGCTTGCATTTTGAAACGTAACGTTGCATTCTAATTTATTATAGAATTCATTGAATCAAAAGAAAGCAAAAGTTAAAGACAAAAGTTACATAAAACGGAAATGAAATTTAAAAATGTGGCTAGTGCTAAAGTGCTCTTCGGATGTTGTAACGCAATATTTTTTGTAAGGAGATGTCGATAATAGTGAACATAATGTATTGAAATCAGAATTTAAATGTAACAGGGTGTTTTTGTTTTAAGGGATGTGGTTTCTCAAAAGTTGTTTGCGGATTTTTGTTATTGTGCGACTCCCAGAGGATTTTATTGTCGAGGCTTTTGGCGATGCCCGAGGATGGTCTGCCTGAACCGCCTTTTTACTATGTAGCACTGGCGTTGCTAGCCGGTGGTCTTACCGTTTGTTTTATATCAACGCTTGGCATATGGGCTACTTACATGCCTGGATATATATTGTTGACCATTGTAAGTTTTTATTGAATGTTATGATTAAATAGCATCCAACAGATCGGGGTAGAAAATTTACGTATTCTCGATCACCCTTAATTGCATAAAAATGTACCTAACTTCTCTAACAGCCCTTAAAAATCTACTGCTAATTCCTCTCCCAACGTAGGGAAGATCTGCCTTACGCTTGACTGAAGGATTGACTGTCGCGGTACCGGAAGTCTCGCACTTTTGGCGCCGCTGTCCTTCGCCGGTCTCGATATTTTCGTCTAACCTAAATAAGATTGTTATAGCAATATCTATTGGATGTAGTAAGATTCTTCTAGCATTTCCCAGATCGTCGATCGATGGATACTCTTACGCCGCCATCACACGGCTCTACCAGTTATATTGGATGACCTTTTTTACCGTTTGAATAAAAAGGGTGTAACATGTGAACGGAGTAGAAGCCTATGGCACAGATATTTTATAAAAAATAAATATCTGTAACGTTGATTAGATACCTACTATAGTTTTGTTTTTCCATAAATTTTACACGTGGTAGAGCCACACTGCAGCTATATTAATTATATAGTTGTAGCACGAATGGGTCGGCTCGACCGGGGAAGGACCACGCTCTCACAGAATACCAGCGTCAAATAGCAGCTTAATGCTGTGTGAGTGTAGAGAACCGGAGACCCTTTTTACTGGAAAAGAGGCATTTCATCTTAGTCCTCAAGGCTGACAACGCATTTGCATTATGATTCGCAAACGAGGATAGATGTAGATATCTATGGGCCACAGCAACCACTTACCATCAGGTGGACTGTGCGCTCGCTTGTCACCTTTTCGTATAAAAAAAAAATTGGTAACAAAATCAAAACATAATGTACGTAGTTCTTGTTAATTTGTGGGTGTTTTATTATTTATAATTTATTATAGTTACTAAATAAACTTATTTTCTTTCTTTAAATTCTATTTTGATGTAAATTCTCCATTTTCGCGTGTATTTTGATAATTGCCAATATCTATTACGCCGTTCTTATATAGGCGGCGTCACGTCAGGGAATTCACTAACCCATATCATTTCGTAAGTATCGTTAAAGGCGACAGAGAAAGAGAAACAAGAGATGGGCTGCAGTATCTTCCTGACGACATCCCAATTTAGTAAAAGACGCGGTTGCCAATTCGCCTGCCAAACGTTTCCTACGATTGGCAGGTGGATTGGCAGCTTAAGTTAAATATCCTCCTTATGAGGCGATCTGTGTACTGTAAATCTACTTATGTACAACAGCAATGGAACTTTGATACGACTATAATGAATTAACGAAAAATGAAAATATACTAAAATTGAATGCTATTAGTCGTGGCACCAATAGATATTGTATATTTTCATTAATAGATTTTCTAGGTATTAAGTCCATTACTAATATATGAATATCATATTAATGTATTAAAACTATTAAGTCAAAAGAGATTTTTAATAAATACTTTAATTTGTGATTTGTTAAAATTATCAGAATTTTGTTCAATTTACTAAAACAGTCATGCTATTAGATTTTTACAGTAATGTTTGTAATTAGATTTATACAGTTTAAAAATAATAACCCGGGGCATAGTCCATGGTGTAAGTAAAACCACGAGTATGAAGCGTTAGCCTGAACGGTGACGGCTAGTTAGCGGAACGCTACGGGACTACGAGTCCGATTCCCACACGGAACAATTGTTTGATGACGTACAAATTATCGTTCCTGATCTGGATGTTTGTCCATGTGCAACGTGACAGTAAAAAATAAAAATAAGAATATGGTGGGAGACGTTTTCTATATCTCTATAAGTAAAAATCAATTGCTGTCCGTTATCTCGCTAAAACTCAAAAACAGCTCGACCAATTTGGACGATGTTTTTGGGACCTTAGATGATTTCGATTAACATTTGGACTTGGTAGGTGGCGCTGTTGTCGAGATCCAGAAATCACCCAGCGAAGTCCGGGCAGATTGCTAGTTGTAAAATAAAAATATAAAATTAAAAATCAATACATAAATAATTTTTTTCCAAATTTGTTGTATATTTACATAGGAATTAAATAACACTTAAACTGAATAACGAAATCTAACATTGGATATTCCAGTATTTCTTGGTAGTGTTATCGCTACTACTTTGCGAATGCGCGGGCGGGGTTCTGGCAGCAATATGGCCGCGATGTGTGGGTCTACAGAGTGCTAGAGGGGGAGCCGTTGGTGCCTTGCAAGCTTATTACGCAGTTCCCGATTATGAAGAATTTACCGCTGCAGTAGATCTTGCCCAGACATACGTAAGTTACTTTATATTTATACTATAGAAGTTAATCAGCTTTTGATTTTGATTTCGATTTGATACGAAAAAATAAAAATATAGTCTAATAAAATTATGAAAACATTGGCAGCGTTTAACGATTAATGAGAAATGCCAAAATGCGAAAGATTTCATGGCGTCCGTTAGATGGCGGTTTAACCAAAGACAGGTAGCAGCGTTAAACGTGTGCGGTGTCTGGTACTGCGATCGTCAGTTTGCCTGTCAAGTATGACAATTAAGGCAAATCCTCCCTAAATCAGGATAGGCTCATGTGCAGCTGAGAACTTATCTGGACTGATGAAGAAGAATAAAATTGAGATTTTTTTTTATCTTAAGTTTAACAACACTTTGTTTTGTATTAAAAATACTATTATCTATAAATTCCTCTGATCAATGACCATAAAGAACTGTCATTTTATCAGGCTCGGAAGAAGAGACGCCATTTTATTTAAAATCTATTGAGGTGAGGTATGTATTTCGTTCATTCGTGATTACAGTTTACTGTGTTCGAAGCCCTATGAAAATTGTTGAATTTCCGTTTATATTTGACATGAATGTGTGGCGAGAACAATTGAGCACCATCTGTGAACTTGTGTCCACTTGTGCACTACAATATTTTGTAACCCGCAGATAGCTTTCAATAATATTCAATAGAAGTCGCTACACGTACACACACATAACATCGTACAGCCTATAACTATGGAGTTATGGAGTGTAGAGGTAAGGAGTACAGACTGTGTATTAAAAAGTGTCCGTAGAAAACCGTTAAACAAGGGTGGCGCCACTATAGTACGGGGTAAATTTTAAAGAACACGCCGAAAAATATTAGTGGGATAGACGAGTTTTTCGAGGTTATATTTACTAAATAAAATTATTTTTGATTTTAGAGCCGACCTGCTTACCGAGCAGTTTAGCAGCACACTTCACACCGTCGATAACTGCTAAGTTCATTTCATGTAGCTGTTTCCCGTAGCTACTCCGGCGCTGTTGTGGAGAGTTTTTGAACTGTTATAAATTGCTTACAGATGGTCACTTCTTCAACTATTCTCCTATGAGAGATTGTTCTCCTTACCTCTACCTCTACCTCTACACTCCATATATGGAGTGTAGAGGTAAGGAGTACAGACTCTGTATAAAAAAGTGTCCGTAGGAAAGCGCTAAATAAGGGTAGTGCAACTGTAGCTACAGTCTGAATTTTAAAGAACTTTTTATAATTTTTTTATTGCTTTTCAAATTTTTATTTTCAATATCACTCTCAACGTATTTTGCGGCGATTTATCACTGTAGCTACTCGAGCGCTGTTGTGGAGAGTTTTTGAACTGTTATTTACTGCTACTGGACACATTTTCAACTATTTTCCTAGGGGAAATTGTCCTCCTTACCTATATACTCCATGCTATAACGTCCCACTGGGGCACAGATACACACAGGTCTTCTCTCATTTCTGATAGAGTTATCTAGACAGTTGGTCCGCCGCGCCGGTCCAAGGCGTGTTGTGGACTTCATGTCATATTAAATATTTCGACTCTTCGCCGAATGCCTGTCGAATCAGCACTTAAAATTGCAATTAACAATTTCATTGGTGCCAGCGGGGGTCGAAACCGATTTACTAGCGGTAAAATTGTCATTAGGAGTAAAAGTGTGTATGTTCTGAATTAAGTTCATGTTATTACTTACGGTATTGGCCTGAAATATGACGAAATGAAGTTTAATTTACTTATGTTGAAGAAAACAAAATATGTTTTATTTAATTGTATGATAGTACACATTGTAAGACACTTTCTGATTGTATTACAGTTACAGTGCTGCGGAATAACTGACGCGCGTAATTACGACATGTCGGTATGGCAACTCCGAAGACTTGGTCCTCGTGGCTTATCGGTCCCGTTGAGTTGCTGCGTACAGACCGAAGACGTTTCGTACCTTAACCCCGTGCCCGTCAATCAGTCTCGCTGCCAGGACATACAACCCAATCCAACATACAGACATGCACAGGTAAGGAAATAATCGATAACTTGTCTTGTTTAGCTTTACTATCCGATGACGGCAGAGAGAAGTGAGCGAAAACTAAGAGTTTTCCGTAAGTACATTCTCAAACAGATCTCAGATCTCAAACGATATGCGGTATAAGGTTAGGAATGCGGGAGTTGTGGCAGCCGGCTTAGCTGTGGCTCCTCAGAAATCGATTAGTTTTTGCCATTTAAAGGTGACCAGCTAGTTATAAATTGCTCCAGCTTCATCCCGTGAACAGTAGTTTTTCCTTTCGCTAATAATGCCATTATCAATGCTTATATAATATATCTATAAGTAGATAAGTTTTTACACGAAAATATATATACAAGGGTGGATTGATTGAAATATGAAAACAAAACCAGAAGATTTTAAAATTATTTTTATTTTTCGTAATCACCACTTTTCCCAAAGCACTTCTTCCATGTAGTTTCATGTGGTTTCCAAAGCCATTTATTTATATATAGCCATTACACCACTTCCAAAAATGCCTCATTTTGGCCCTCAATTAACTGCAGCTTCAATTTCTTCGTTTGATGAAAAGTTCTGTCCTAATTTTTTTTAGATTGGGGAAGAGGTGGAAGTCAGATGGTGGAAGTAATTCAAACCCATAATTATAGATTTCAGCCACCGTTAACTGTTTTGTAGGACGTGTGAGGGCGTGCGTTGTCTTGATGAATCAACACTTTTTTGGTTAACATTCCTGGTCGTTTTTTCTCAATTTTATCACGCAACCGACGTAAAAAATAAGTGGAGTTTATGGTGGTTCCTTTCGGTAGGTAGTCGACCATAATGGCTTCCTTCAAATCCCAGAATACTGATACCATCACTTTGCATATAGACAAAATCACTTTAGCTTTCTTCGGAGCCGGTGAGCCTGGTCTCCTCCATACTTTTGATTTTTGTTTTGACTCAGGAGTATTGTAATGAACTCAAGTTTCATCAGTAAGTCACCCTATTACGAAGTACATATAGCTAATATTGAACGAGTCCAGAGATGTTTTCTGCGGGGCTTATGTCGTAAACATGGATTGATCCACCAGTTGCCATCTTATAATGAAAGAGTGAATTACTTTGGAGGTACGAAATTAGATAAACGTAGACAATATTCTGAGCTTATTTACCTTCACAAAATCATTCACTCCTCCATCGTTTGGCCAGAATTGCTTAATTTAATTAATTTTAACGGTCGATCCTCTCTGCGTAACCCGCGTATCTTTCGCCTTGATGTTTACAGAAACAACACGTCTTTCTTTAATCCGGTCATCAGAATGTGTCGAAATTTTGACGAGCTGAGGCATCGTAACGCTGATCTGGACATTTTTAATTCTAACATTTCACAATTTAGAAGATCTCTGTAATTGCTACGTTAAATATGTAAATTTTCTCGGATATCATTAAATAAGATCTTTTTTTAACTGTCACTAATACTATGTATTATTAGTTAATTTTTCTCTCATACTTGTTGTCATGTTTTGTTTTGCTGTGCACACTTTATTGGATTATAGACTAGTTAAAATATTTTTGTTACTGTAAATGTGTTTTGTATTGTATTTAATCTGTTTGTGTGCCTTAGTAATAAAATAAAATAAAGTAAGTAAAGTAAAGTAGTAACAAATCTCTCTAAAAAGTTTTGTAGATCGGCTTGAAACAACACCAAAAAATCGCGCGAAATCGTAAGTCGGTTGAGTTTATGTTCGGCTGAAAGGAGCCTCGATACCCATCTCGCAGAAACCTTCGAAAACCCCAATTCATTATGCATTATATTTTAGTTCGTTCATACGATATGCCTAAGATCTCAGCGGTTTCTCTGATTTTCAATCCCTAAGTATCAAATCGCAAAATTTTCCCATGTTTTCTTCAGTACTCGAAGTTGATGGCCGTCCAGTGCGTGGGTCATCTTCAATGCTCTGCGACCACGTTTGAATTCTACCGACCCCTTTTTAACGGTTGTATCACATTCGTATCTTCGTGAATCTGTTTCGGCGTTAACCTTTTCTTGAACAGATACTTGATAACGGTGCGATGTTCGATTTTCTCCATTTTTAAAAATCGATTCACTTAAGTCACAGAAGAAACACTAAAGGAAAATTTCACACATTGACAAGTAAAGAGTTACTGAATATAATAAAGTAGAAAGAAAAATTTTTTTTAATCATGTCTATATCAGGCCGCGAACTTTTCAATCTACCCTCGTATATAGGTTTTTATTATTAGTATATTGTAAAGTACTTTTTATTATTAAAAAGTAACTGTAGCAAGTATAACATTTTCAAACAAATCTTCGGAAATTTTGATTCACTCTCTCTCACAGACTACTAAGAGGATACCTCTCTCTGCATAAATAATAACTTGAAGCTTAACACAACCCTATCTACTAACGAACACTCGTACTATTATGTGCACTACTCTGTATCCGCACATGCGCGGGAAACAGTAGAGTCGCGCATGCGCAGTTGTTATAAACGCGCGAAAATTGTCATAATAAATAATTGTTATTTAGATTGTATTGTTAATCGAGTACATTTTGCATATGTGCTAATTTAATATAAAATTATTATTAGCGCCGTTCTGCACTGCATGAATATCGAGGCCACAATAACAGGTGTACGGATTGCAGTGCAGTTCAGTTGAACATAGTGAGTGTTCGGAATGTCAAATCTAGTGCGTAGTACATAATATATCGATGGCTCCTGTAAGCTCTGACAGCGCGCGACATGTTATAATCCCGTTCGCTCGGGACCGTAATGGCGGCAAAATTTGAAAATTAGCAAATTTTCTGCTATATTGCAAATTTTGCTATATTTTCACTTTGAGACAATATTTATGGATAAAACTTACAGGAATTCTTGTTGAATGTATAAACTATCGAATAAAATTATTTTTGGTTGCTAGAAATTGTAATAAAATACGTAAATTACCCTGTATAGCTGTATAGTGGTATATACTTCAATTTTAGTGACAAAATTACTACTAATTTGAATTCTACACTTTTGTTTTTAGAGAAATTTATATGAAAATGTTTGGAAATATGTATATTTTTATGTTTTATGTGTTTCCATTCGTTACTCATACCAAAATATTAAAATATAAAGAAATTAAAAAAATTAAATAATAATATTTTATCTGTGTGACATTTAGAACAATATTTCTAAAATAGTTTTGTGTGAATTTGAAATAAATACAACGTCAAGTTATTTGAAATATGTAAGAAAACTATTTTTACTTACATTTTACACTAAAAATAAATGAGAATGTGAAAAATACCACATTTATGACCCAGCCGCCATAATGGGCCTTCCATCCGGCCATTTAATTTACTTTTCACTTTTTATACCACAAATTATATATATATGTGTTCACTATATTACAAGGAATATAAAAAAGTATAATACTTTCGTTTTTAGTCCAGACACAAATATAAAATTCTATAAAAAAGACGGAGCACCTTCATCAAAACGGCACGTGGAACGCCGAAAGTTCAGAGTGATTTCTTTTTTTTTTTTTAAGAAACATTGCCAGGTTATGGTTTAAAATAAAAGAGCATATCTTTGTCTTTGATACTATTATCTATTGCATAGTGTCTTTGGTTTTGTTTAAAACGAAAAAATAGTTTTTTCATAGGTACACATGTTTACATAATTCTGATCAAATTAGATCACTGCTTGGCGGACGTACGGTAGGTATTGTACGATCGAAAGTGCGCACGGCTTGGCTTACAGGTAAGAAGTAAATAAATATTTAATATTTCATTCATTATGTTTACATTATTGCCGAACAAAAGTCTACTGCTAAACAGAGGGCTCCCCATTGATTGCGTGTAGGAAGGAATATTTGCCATAGTTACCACGCTTGGCAGGCAAGCGGTGCAAAAAGCAGTTTTTTTATTATTTTGAGTTGTTATCGCCTAGAGATGATTAGTGGCAGTGAATTCTATAACGCCTCCACTACACGGTTAAATTGTGATTTTTGTCTATCCTACTCGTACATTCGATTTATAAACATGATAGTAATTTCCGGAATGAAACGAGCTATTAATTAATTTATTTATTACTAGTATTAATTTATTATTAATTAACTATTATATATAACTATTTGAAAAATTACAGCACTTAGAATTATAATGAATTATCTTTGGATATCTTTGTTTTCAGTTTTGAACTTGATTTTCTATCATCATTTTTTTTATAGGATAGGGTGACAAACGAGCAACCAGTCCACCTGATGGTAAGTGGTTGCCCATAGACATCTACATCTATCCTCGATAACAAATCAATGAGGACTAGGATGGAATGCCTCGTTTCCAGTAAAAAGGGTCTCCGGTTCTCTATACTCACCAGCATTAAGCTACTATTTCACGCTAGTATTCAGTGAGAGCGTGGTCCTTCCCCGGTCGAGCCGACCCATTCGTGCTACAACTATACTAATAATATAACTGCAGCATGGCTCTACCACGAAAAAAAGGAATCATACAGCCCTTCACAAGTCCACTGCTGAACATAGGCCTCCCCCAAGTAATGCCACTAAGCATGGTCCTGAGCCACCTGCATCCATCGACTTCTGCATGTCTTACCATTTCGTCATTCCATCTAGTGGAGGAACGCCTTTTACTTCGCCTGCCGGTACGAGGCTGCCACTCGAGAACCTTTTTCCCCATCGGTTATCGGTTCTTTGCGTTATATGGCCGGCCCATTGCCACTTTAGCTTACTAATCCATTGGGCTATGTCGGTCACTCTGGTTTTACTGCGGATATCCTCATTTATAATTTTATCACGCGGAGAAACTCCAAGCATAGCCTTCTCCATAGCTCGCTGAGCGACTTTGAGCTTCCTCATACGGCCAGCAGTGAAGGACCACGCCTCAGATCCATAAATCATCACTGGCAACACGCACTTGTTGTACAATCTAATTTTGAGGTTTTGAGGTATGCCTGACGAGAAAATGTGTCGTAATCTCCGCAGAACGCTACGCAGCCGCGTTGAATGCGTCGATTGACCTCTTGGTCGAAGTTGAACTTACCTAGTCGGACTACTTGTCCTAGGTAAACATACTCGTCAACAACTTTGAGCTTAGTGCACCCAACAACCACCGATTTTCCGATAGTGAAATCCAATTCCATTTTGTCTGATTTAGGGGATTATTTGTTCCGCCTAAATTATTTATTTAGTTATTTATTGTAATGGATAAAAGTACTTATGCAGACACATACAATGCGTGTAGTAGCACAGGTTCGGACTTAAATTTTTAGGTTTGTAATTAATTTGAACTAATAATGATCAATATTGTTTCAGGGCTGTTTGGGTAAACTCGAAGACTGGTATCAAGAGCAATATATATTTTTTATGCTAGCCTTGTTTGTGATGGCAGTTTTTAAACTTGGCATTTTATTGAGCACCATATTCTCATGTATTCGTTTGCGAAAACACAGACAGTATATACGATCTTATATCATGAAGAACACGGATAATAATACCAATCAACCTTTTTACAACAGAAAAATTTCGGCGGTTCACGATTCGCCGATCACTTCTAAGTACATTCAACCCAACAATTACTACAGTCCAAGAGTGCGCAATCCGAAAATTTTTCACGGAAAATCAAATGAAATTGTATGAGAATTAGCCGTGGAGATAAATGCATTAGAGATGAAACTGGAGAAATTCTCTGATTATTTGTATAAGCATCAAGCAGATTCAATTATGTGGTAGATGTTATATTAGCAGTAATTGTCGGCATTAACGAAAATACATTTTTAATGAGCTGCAGTATGGCTTCCTTTTACAAAACCCAGTTTTTTAAAGGCCCAAAATCTTGATATTTTACATCTATTATCGCTATTATTACAACGACTATCAGCTATTAGTTTATGTTGGCCAGTTTTTGATGTAATAAAAACAATAACGTTAAAAAATTATCTTGTGAAATCCATCCACCATCTGTTGAAGTTTTGGCGGGAACTTCAAAACTTTCTCGCTTTATTGTATAACTAAGGGTTTGAAGTGAAAAAGCTTTATGTGCGCGCCGCAGCTCGTTTTTTTAAAAAATTGATACGTAAAAGCGGTGCGTGTTTTGTGTGTTAAAATCTGCGCATGTGAACTGTTGGTGAAGACAAAACTAACAAATTATTGAGTTAGTTAAGTTATTGTCTGCTCAACCTCAACTGTAATCAACTGTCTGCTGGCTCAAGCTGTCGGCAAAATCTCCCGAAAACTTCGTTATGTGACGCATCAACATGTTGTGAAGAAGTTTTTAAATAAATTAAATAGCGATCCGCCACGACTTCTCGGTGTTGTTTGAATCTCGACAACATATGCATGTATTATACAAATAAATCTTCCTCTTGAATCATTTTGTCTATTGATGAAAACAGCGTCAAAATTCGTTGCGTAGTTTAAAAGATATAAGCGTACAGACGGCGGGCAGCGACTTTGTTTGATACTATGTAGAGAAGGATAATTTCTTATTACTTGAAACTGGCACAAGTAATAATACCTTACGGGTCCATTACCAAAGTAAATGACAAATGAAAATACCAAATACCACAAGTGGACCCGGCACAGTAATGCCACAAAAATTCAGTCACTATACAGCGGCTTGTTAATTTTTTTTACTTTAATGTAATGATTTTATGGTGCAAAAGTTATCTCCACGGAATAATGTGTACTATTTTTATTGTTTTTAATAAAGATATGGGATTAAAGTATTTTATTTAGTGATAATGAAGCTCTTGGAAATTCTCGTTGTAGTATATTGTTTAAGTATAATAATTGTAAAGTTTTGGTATTTTAGAGGCTAGGTGTTCGTTTTATATAGCATAATATGCAAGTGGCCCAATACGACCCTGGCATCCGATAACAGAGTGTTAGATAACTGAAAACACGAAAAGATACCTATACCGCAGTCTAAAGACCTTATACAGTGTTTAAATTCAGCCCATTGCCGCGACAACGAGCAGAGGCATGGGGAATAAGCTGGAAAACGCGAGAATATGAACAGGTCACATCCATTGCCTTTAACGTTGCCGTTCGCATTCCCCGGTTATCCCCCATTTGGCGGTTTTTTTTGCGGACATCAAGGCGCGGCAATGCGAGCGGTAACGTGTGTTTACAATACATATGTAGCTAAGTTATAATACATATATAGATTTGACGGGACAGCGAGGTTGGCAACGGGAAAAAATTGGGTTTAACGCCTAACGGGTTTTTTAATGGGATAACAAAAATTTATGTTTTTTTAGATTTGTTTTCGAAATAAAAATAATTTGGAAATGACAAAAATTAAATTATAATTTTATTCATTTTTAGTTTAAAAATACGAAAAATTGTACAATACATTCTTATCTTTAAAAAGTTGAGAGAGTAAATTTTCATTTGACGTAATTCTTTTAAATACGGCTCGGAAACTGTTTTGTCGTTGGTTGGCCAAAATGATGCGCTACTGTTGAATATATAGAAAACTATCAACTACTCTATTTATTTCATTCTCTCTCTACTGTTTGAGTCGCATATCCCTGTGAACCTGTAATATCCTTGAAAGTCAATAAATTTTAGTTCGATAAAATGACTTTATTACCTATAGCATGTAGTAGATGGCGATGAGAACCGAACATTTTCTTGAGATTTGTAATACAAATCTCTTGTAAAATAGAAAATGTTCGGTACCCAATGGATCTCACAGACTCAACAGAGTACTGGAGAACTTATCTCAAAGTTCTCCAGTAATCTGTTGAGTCTGTGAGAGTACTTTGAATGATCGATCCGAATGTACCAGTACTTGTGACGAAATGTACTAGAATGATTCGGTCACTAGAAATGAATGATTGACAGTTTCTACCGTACTTGACAGGATTATATTGTTCTCTACAACGGGAGCTAGATTTTAAGTTGGCAACACTGAGCAGAAGTTCTCTCGTTCAGTCGTTCAGTCGGAAGCGAACGCGTGAACGTCACTGACGTGTTGCAATTCATTTAATTACGAGCCGCCTTCATCATGCCATCGAAATGGAGTAACGAAAAAATTCTTACTACTCTACTCGTAATACTTACATTGTTCTATTACGATGAATTGCTATGATCCACCATCTCTTTTTAAGGACGACTTCTCTATTGAAATAATTTTTTTATAAAAAATTTAAATAATTAATCAAACTTATAAGGCAGAGCGCCGACGCTGCGACAATTTCCACGTTATCCATTGCCCAAAGTCGAATTGAAAATACATAATATGAAGCGGCAATGTAGGTACATTCCGTAACAACATACTGTAACATTCCGTTGACGTTGCCACAGCAATATTTGGAGAAGTACGACGGGGCAAGCTGCAACGGAAATGGCTAAACGTAAACGCGGTATTGGTTGTGAAACGCCTTTGATGTCAGGCGATACCGTCGCCCGCGTAGGTATTTACTATTTACGCGGCCAGCGCACATAATACATAATAGTTTTTTTTTTATAGGAGAGGAGGCAAACGTTCGTTTGCAGCATACGGCTCACCTGATGGTAAGTGATTACCGCCGCCCACGAACAACTGCACTACCAGGAGAACTGCAGATGCGTTGCCGGCTTTTAAAAAGGTTTAGGCTCTTTTCTTGAAGGTCTCTAAGGCGTATCGGTCCGGAAAATTCTCTGGTGGTAGTCGATTTCACGAGGAAGTTGTGCGAGGAAGAAAACTTCTTTTAAATCGCAGAGTGGTGGACCGCCGGCCATCCCGATGGTATGGATGGTATCACGAGTTTTGTCGCGATGTGCCATAGTGAAATTGTGCGGTTGGAATTAGTCCAAACAATTCCTCAGAGCACTCCCCGTCGTAAATGCGATAAAATCCGCAGCATGGAAAGAGCTCGGTCGCCGACGATTCGAACAGCTCTGCGCTGGATGCGATCAAATGGAAGGAGGTGGCACTGGGGAGCCTTAGCTGAAAGATGGGAACAGTATTCCATGTGCGGCCGAACTTGCGCCTTGTAAAGCTGCAGGCGGTGTCCCGCTCTGCTGAGCACGCCAAGCTTTTTAGAGGGCAATTTGGCCTTCTCTTCCAAGTCCATAGAAATTGTGCTATTTGATCACCAGTTTTCTTGCTGATCGGAGCATCAAGGTCGTAGTAGACGGTGCATGCTCCGATTACAATCCTCGTGTCGGGATATCGAGTGACATACAGTTTCGTGGTCACTTCGAAGAGAAGGCCTAATTGGCCTCTAAAAAGCATGGTGTGCTCAGCAGAGCGAAACAGTATTTCATGCCGGCTCACCGCCTGCAACTTTACAAGGTGCAGGTTCGGCCGCACATGGAATACTGTTCCCATCTCTGGGTTGGGCTCCCCAGTGCCAGCTCCTTCCATTTGATCGCATCCAGCGCAGAGCAGTTCGAATCGTCGGCGACCGAGCTCTTTCCGATCGGCTTGACTCACTGGCACTGCGAAGAGATGTTGTATCTCTTTGCGTGTGTTATCGCATCTATCACGGGGAGTGCTCTGAGGAATTGTTCGGACTAATTTCAGCCGCAAAGTTTCACCATCGCACATCGCGACAAATCTCGCGATACCATCCATACCATCTAAATGACTTGCGATCTACCACTGTGCGATTTAAAAGAAGTTTTCTTCCTCGCAATACTTCCTTGTGGAATCAACTACCATTTTTCCGGACCGATACGACTTAGGGACCTTCAAGAAAATAGCTTATTCCTTTTTAAAAGGCCGGCAACGCATCTGCAATCCTCGTGCTGTTGCAGCTGTTCATGAGCGGTGGTAATCACTTACCATCAGGTGAGCCGTATGCTCGTTTGCCCCCTCTTCTATAAAAAAAAGAAATGTTAAAGTCAAGAAACAAAAACATTCAGGACAAATTTAAAGCTGATCTTAATCTATTAATCGACATTGTCAAACAAGGATCGGGAACCACGAACGATGGGAACACGGCAAGAAGATTATTTGAGTTTCCCGATCTATCTGCGGCTATCACTGGTTTCGACTTAGAGCTTGTCCGCAGATTAGCTGTGATTTGGCAAGCCATAACATTTGGAGAGGTAATCGATGGCACCAAATTCAAAGATTTTAAATATAAGACAACCCAAAGGTACGTGGAATTCTATGATTGGTACTACGAGTACATGTTAACAACCGTTCGTAAGTTACTGATTCATGGAGCAAATATCATCGAACGCAATGCAATTGAGCCAATTGTGAGCCTATCAGAAGAAGCTTCAGAAGCTGGGTACAAAGATTTTAGGAGGTTTCGGAGACATCATTCACGGAAAAAGAGTAGAACATCTTCTAACAAGGATATCCTTAACATACGTATCTTAACTTCTG